TGACAATTGACATCTCGTAGGACATCGCAATGTTAAAAATACCAGTCGCTAACATTGAAAAAGGATAGAACGTGAACTAGTTCGGCTGAAACGCAAACCGGTAGAATTCTAGTTCACAATTAGTAGCTTTGCCTGCAGGGAAGCATGCACAGCGGTGACAACACATACACACATACATGGTATGACATAATGCACTCAACATTTGAAAACACCTTTACATGTATGGCTGTAGCTGAGTGTGCAAAGACGCTTGATACAATTAGTTGCGGCCAAGAGGGTCCGGGTTCAATTCCCATCAGACGGAACATAAAATTAATTTTTTCTCTTCTTAATTACGAAAAAGTATCTGTGCACTTCACAACCCCATATTTTATAACGTATATACTCAAATTTAAAACGAGTTGGGTTGGTGCTCTTTTATATGCGTATTTTTTTTCAATTTAGCAGTTTTTTTTTTAATTCTAAAATTTTTTTCCCTCAGTGTTGGAATGTGAGTTTATGACATTCGATACGATACTAGGGTTATGGTACTCGATTCCAAAAAATATCGTTTTAAAACTATCGAGTAGAAAATATCGGTATCGAATGCCAAAAGTATCGAAATGGTATCGTATCGTATCGAAATTCGTGTCCCTATTTGGCTGAGCTTCTCCTCCGACTTGTGGCATGCGCCTGAATGTTGTCCCATAAAGAGGACGGACTCCGAACGCCGCTATCGCTAATTTTCAAAACAACGTCAAAAATATTTTTAGAAATTCCTTATAAAGATGAACGATAACAACTAGAAAATCTAAATCAAAGTATATGGCGGGACTGGATTTGATTCGGAAGATTACCAAGCACAATAACATTTTGAGCAACTGGTCCTTAAACTTGTACGTCAACGAACTGGTTGGACCTTATCAGTGTGGCTTTACACTTGGCAAATCCACCATAGGTTAGGTATTCACAATACGCCAAATCCTAGATCGCGAGAATAGGATCGACACACACCATCTATTTGTCGATTTCAAAGCCTCTTTCGGCAGCACGAAAAGAAGTAGTCTTTATGCCGGGATGTCTGTATTCGGTATCCCCGCGAAGCTAATACGGATGTGTAAAATAATGTCGAGCAATACCACCCGCTCCGTCAGAATTGGGAAAGACCTCTCTGAGCCGTTCGCCACCAAACGGCGTTTCAGACAGGGCGACTCGCTTTCGTGTGATTTCTGTAATATCCGGCACAATACTTTACAAGAGCGTGCAATTGCTGGCAGATATCGACATCATCAGTAACAGTAACTGAGAGGTCTGTCCTGCCTTTTCCGATTTGTAGATGTCTGCCTTGACGGAGAATCATTCTTGCCAATAAGTGCTAATATGGTTTGAATACGTAATTGAGAAGTAAAGTCCTCTCTAGTTGTACAAAAATCTCACTCTATAAGTCCCTCATCATGCCTGTGCAGGTATATGGCGCAGATGGACAATGCCAACATCCGATGAGGCGGCTCTTGGAGTATGCGAGAGAAAGATTTTGTGGAAGATATACGACCCGCTGGCGACGGTGACTAGCGCAGACGATGGAGCGATGAGCTATATGAGCTTTATAACGACATGCAAAACTGGATTGGCCATGCCGTTAGAATAGACACCAACGCTCCAGCTTTGAAAGTTACAACTCTGAACCCGCTGGTGGTAGCAGAGGAAGAGGAAGGCCCCCACTGCGATGAAAAGACGAAGTGGAGAAGGACTTGGCTTCACTTGGCATTTCCAATTGGCGTTAGTTGGCACAGAAGAGTTTCGCTTGGGCGGTTACTGTTCCAAATAAGAAGAACCACCAGGGTCCCAATCACGGTATTTTTCATGGAATTATAACTCTCTTTTAATCGAATCAAAAAAATACAATTCAAATTGTCGAATCTCTGAAGGAAAATTTCAATTCGAGCTTCATACGATCTCGACTACCGTTATTCCGGCCCATCTATTTCTGGCACAANCAAGTAAGTGACAATTTATACATATGTATGTAAGTATTAGCGGCACATTAGGTGAACTAAATGCATTCATACATACATATTTATGTACAACTGTAGGTAATATTGTACGCGTCTTCCCAGGTAGGTTAAGGGCCTAGGGTTAGCACTAATCGGAGGTAGAAGCTCCGGTTAAATACAACGACTGCTTTATCGATCACACGTTATATGCATGATGACGANAGTTAAAGAGCGAAATACACCACACAAGCGGTTTGTCAAACCGCTTGTGTGGTGTATTTCGCTCTTTAGTGAAAATTTTCAATCGAAGTGACGGCGGCAGCATTGCCCAGCGCCCAAAATCCACATTAAGGGCCGATTGTTCAATGTCTGATTAGCACTAATCAGAGGTAGAAGCTCCGGTTAAATACAACGACTGCTCTATCGATCACATGTTATATGCATGATGACGAAATCGTCGATAATGATGTTTAACCTGCAAGTAGTGATAACCAGACATTGCACAACCGGCNTAGTGAAAATTTTCAATCGAAGTGACGGCGGCAGCATTGCCCAGCGCCCAAAATCCACATTAAGGGCCGATTGTTCAATGTCTGATTAGCACTAATCAGAGGTAGAAGCTCCGGTTAAATACAACGACTGCTCTATCGATCACATGTTATATGCATGATGACGAAAACGTCGATAATGATGTTTACCCTGCAAGTAGTGATAACCAGACATTGCACAACCGGCCCTAAAAATACAGTAAATGATAATTGATATGGCAGCTCGCGATATATCGATTTCTGAAGTTTCGATGAAAACAAGGGAAATATATCCCAAACCGATTCAGGCTAGTGCACAGGGCTAGGACGCCTCTATGATCATACATATTTAGTACGGTTTTCGAGAAAATTTTCAATGGCTACGCTGCTTCGTTTTACGTACTACGATTTTCTGAAATAAAAATATCTGAAAATATTTGCTTTTTAAATTTTTCAGGCGCCTTTAATAATGATAATTGATTGGCTCTTACTCATATGTTAGTGTTTCGTGGTGTGCGCCTTGATGTTGTCACACAAAGGGGAGGGACCTACAGTTTAACACCGAATGCGAAAGGCGACTCTATTTTTATGAGTAGCTGGTTTTCTTGCAAAAATACACTCGGAGGTTTGCCATTGCCTGCCGAGGGGCGACCGTTATTAGAAAAACTTTGTTTGACCGCCAAATACGCCGTTACTTTTATTAAAATCTTGAAACGTTGAATTTGGATACTTTTCAAGGTATGATAGAAATAATATTAACATACATACTTTATCTAAACATAAGTATAAGGTATTATTTATTGGAAATTGCACAATTTTCATAATTTCTCCTCGATAACAATTGCAACATTTGTTTGAAATAGTAGAAGATAATGCTATCATTAAAAATTCACAAAGGGAAGATATCCCAGCATACTTTTCGTAAAACATAAAAGAAGGATTGGCAGCAATATTTGCATACTTTTAAGTTAATTATCAAAAAGTTCAACGTAGTGTAAGCAAACACAATTTTCTATTCCTTTATAATCCTTTGGTTTCTAAAAATCTATCACCCAACCCTATAATTTTACCGAATTACAGAAAATTCTAAAGAGCGAAATACAACATACAAGCGGTTTGACAAACCTACTTTTTTTCATTTCGCCATACACCATACAAACTCGTTCAAGCGGAGAATTTTAGTTTTTTCCGGTTCATAATGTAAAAAAATTTGGTCTTAAATTTTTCCCTTCTACGTCCTCACCTGGAGGACTCGTATTTTTCTTGTTATTTACCCTCATTGCAAGTGTCATGTCGAGTGCAAGGCGGTTTTCGAGAATCGAGCCTAAAATTTCGACTCGAATCTTTAAATAAACATGGAGGGCTATGTAAGTTTGTGCTGAACACTTAGCAGATGGCCCCAACTATTCCCCGTTTACGTATGTTCAAATATCTGCCAAAAATCCTGTACAAAAAATCTGTTACTGAACTTTATTTTCTACTACGATTATTCACGTCATGTACTCGGATTAATACATCCGAGAGTTCTAACCCCGCCAGTGCATAAATGTCCCAAACCGGTTCGAGCTAGCGGTGCATTTTGGGCAATTTCCCAAAGCAGGCAAGGTGGAATATAAACAATGAAGAATTTACAATTCGTGTTTCGGCTGAATTTCGACCTAGAAATAATTTAGTTTTCTTTGCAAACCATTATAAAGTTTTCAACAAACACTATTCTGAAGAAATGAATTGCGAGTGAAAAGTGTATTTGAGGGAGGCATAAGGAAATTATGGGTAGATTGTCCGCTGCCGTAAAGTACGGTAAGCAAATATGTACATATAAACATACATCTACATATTGGATATTGGCACAATCGGTTTGTTAAATAAATTATCACCAATTTTAATAAAACCCTAAAGTGCTTACTAAATTAGCGAAAATTATTAGGAGCTTGCGAAAAGAGCACTAGAGCTTACCGTACAACAATGGCCATTGCCTACGTGTGCTCAATAATTTATAGGTATCGATCCATTGATTTTTTCTACATATATACGTACATATTTATTTATATGCTCATGTAAATTAGACATCGTCGAAACAAGCAATGCAGAAGTTGGTTCGGCAGATATGGAAAACAAGACTAACCAGTACACATTCGATGGATGTTTGTCAAGAAGTGGCACAGCCGGTTGAATGCTGGCGCTATTTTGATTGGCTGCTATAAGCAACACTATTCTATTTTATTTTATTATCATTAAGTTATTGCTTAATACCAACGGTGTTGCTAATTTAATTTACATCAACGAAAACATATCTTGCCCTGGCAAGAGTTTGGTTTTGTCAGCAGGCATTAAAGTCAATTTTCATTAGCAGTAAAAGAGGCTCTTTAAAATACACTACAGGTCCATATTTTCAATTTTTTAATATTAAATTTCCTTGAGCTATTTATGCAAGCACATATTTTTCTTGTATCGTCCTCTGCAGCAAGAATACAAAAATCCATTGAAAAGGATATGTTGCACCGCTCTGTAGTGGTTGTTGTAGCAGTACCTCATGTGTTGATTGGTTGTGTGCTAGTTGGCGGTGCTTTTCCGGGCTTCCCCGGTCGATGTAGTAACGTAGAACTGAGCTGAAACTACTGCAAATATTCAGAAGTCGTCCAAAATACGTGCTTATCTATACGTAGTACTTTTAATTCAGTTTTGATTGAACATTTTTTTCCCGTTTTTTATATAATCATATGAATCATCCCTTAAATAGCCGACTATCGTATCACTTAAAATCTTCGCAAGTGCTTTAAATAAACACAAACGGAAGTAATTTTCTTCTTATCTGCTCACTATCAATTTTCTTATCAGGAGGAATGCCTACCCCACTAACACTTTGCGTAATTGCTATACTCTACCATACTCCAGGCACTTTTGTTTTGACAACATAACATCTGTGTACATATATTTACACATATGGATGTATGTCTGTTTGTAAGCACAAAAAGGGCATGCCACGTACGTATCTGATTCTCAATGATACGCTTGTCTTAAATGATAGGCTTGGCGCACAATAATTGAAAAGGCAATTCACTTTCACTGTTACTTGCTGGCAAACTCTGGCTCAGGGTCGCCCAGATATCTTATACAGGGCAGACCAGTTTAGTTAAGACTTCTGCATTCTAAAAACCATTAAAACAGCAGCTCTATAACGCAAAAGAAGCTTCAAGCTAGGGTAAGCGCTCGCTGCTGGTTGGCAAGTTTTTGTCTTGGTGTTTTTTGTTTTTGTGTAAAGCTAATTTGTACGTACACGAACCGCCTGGAAATGTATGTAGTTTGGCAGCAACCACAAAAACAAATCAAAGTAAACAACCAACCAAGCGAAGCGATTAGACTCAGACGTCCAAGTAAGCTATTGGCTTGTTGGCGCACTTATCGCACCTACAAGTGCTCACTTGAGCTCAGTAGCGGTCGAAATACGTTGGTGTGCAGTTGCGTTGAGTTGGCGCGTTCGAGTAGCATTGTTGTGTTGAAAAATTCGTTTTCGTTTTCGCACAAGTATCGTTTGGTTTTTTGTTGTAAGATAATTTTTTGTTACTTATTTCGACATACACAAGCGTTTTTTTTATCTGGAGTTTTATAAAAAATTGCCAAATTATTGTAACATTTTTAAACACATTTATAAAGTGAGCAGTATATAAATAAATAGCACTGAAATCTTTGCAATAGCAACCATGCCAGTTTATGACGCACTGTACGAGCGCCTATCAAAGGTGGGCCAGGAGCATTTACTTAAGTTCTGGGAGGAGTTGACACTCGATCAGCAGGAGCTTTTAGTGCGTGACATTGAGGAACTCAATCTTAACGAATTGAAACTCTATTTTGATCGTGCAACTGAGTCATTGCAAGAGAATGGCATTAAACTGGACGATCGTATGCAACCAATACCAGAATCGAAGTTGGTCAGCATTGAGCGTACGGCGGAAGAGCGTCTCAAGGCTTACGAAGAAGAGGGAATGCGACAAATTAGCGCTGGACATGTAGCTGTGCTGCTGATGGCTGGCGGACAAGGTAAGGCAAAGCATAATACATTCATATTTGTTTCAGAGAGAGAAAAGCTTGCAATTTGACATGCATTTGAAGTTAATTAATATTGAAATGCTTACCTTTTATGTACAAAAGTATGTGAGTTCATGCATTTGCATATAATGTGTGATTTGTGTATACTTTTTGTGTGCAAAATTGTATGATATGCATGTATATACGCGTACGTTCACATTGTTACACATTAGCAGAAATTTAAATTAAATTGAATGCGACTAAGATAAAAAAATAAATAAAATTAATTTTTTAAATGATTGAATTGCCAGGCGAAAGAAGCGAAAAATACAGCGAACTTTAATATTTGCTTGTAATTGCTATCGTGGCTGTTTTTTAACTGCCGCCGTTGCTGCACCGTTAGCGCCTCTGGCAAAAGGCTGCTTGGCGTGCCTTAAAAATGATAAATAAAATAATAATTAACTTGCCTGTCACGTAGCCACAAACAAGAAATACTCACAAACAAAAAAATACTCTTAAGAGTTACCGTAATACAGCAAACCAACCGCAGGCCATTGTGTAGATCGGCTTTTGAAATGCCAACCGATTTAAATTTTTTTTTTTTCGTTTCTCTCAACTGGATTGAATTTATTAAGCCAGTTTATGTGGGCGTGTGTATTGTAACAAAGAAGGAATGCATTAACAGACAAGAATTTAATATTACCTTGGTTGGTTGGTTAAGCTTTATTGCAGTTAAAATACTGACTCCAATTTAAATGACCCAGTAGATAATTTCAGAAGTTAAAAACCCTAACGAGAGGACTTTTTGTGAGTTATTTGGCCTTCCACCCTAGGTTTCATTCTATTTTATATGGAGTGGAAAAAATTGAAGAAGTGCTAATTTCGCTAGCCAGAGAATGCCTTCCAGAAGGGTTTTTGTTGCGCATACACACCTCAGAAGGTCTTTTGGAGAGGATCTTTCAAAGTCATGTCAGATCAAACTTTTGCTTCGTGTTGCGTGACAGATATGCTTTGACAGCTATGGTGAAATCTCAAGCGAAAATATGGCCAACTCCCATCTTTATGCGCCCGTTGACAACCAGCTGGTTTAATTTGAGGCAATTGTATCAGTTCTTTGTTTTGTAATGTAAAAGGATCCATTTAACCGGTTCCAATGATATGCAGAAAGGAACAGCCTAGAACACGAAATGTTAAATGTAAACAGGCCGAAATTCTACGAGAATTACATACATATGTATATAGGAGCACCTACAAAGATATATCAAATGAATCATCTAATTAAGCGCTATACCTTAACATTTTTTTATGTCAATACCCCTGAAGATAAGCTGGGTAAGTCGTATTAAGTGAAACAATTCTACAAGTTCAAGAAGGGTTGAAAAAGGGGCTTCCATGCATGCCTTTGTTAAGGAATTATTTATTTTAAAATAGAAATAAAACATTTTTGATATAATATTTAAGGAAGAACNTATTTTATATGGAGTGGAAAAAATTGAAGAAGTGCTAATTTCGCTAGCCAGAGAATGCCTTCCAGAAGGGTTTTTGTTGCGCATACACACCTCAGAAGGTCTTTTGGAGAGGATCTTTCAAAGTCATGTCAGATCAAACTTTTGCTTCGTGTTGCGTGACAGATATGCTTTGACAGCTATGGTGAAATCTCAAGCGAAAATATGGCCAACTCCCATCTTTATGCGCCCGTTGACAACCAGCTGGTTTAATTTGAGGCAATTGTATCAGTTCTTTGTTTTGTAATGTAAAAGGATCCATTTAACCGGTTCCAATGATACGCAGAAAGGAACAGCCTAGAACACGAAATGTTAAATGTAAACAGGCCGAAATTCTACGAGAATTACATACATATGTATATATTAGCACCTACAAAGATATATCAAATGAATCATCTAATTAAGCGCTATACCTTAACATTTTTTTATGTCAATACCCCTGAAGATAAGCTGGGTAAGTCGTATTAAGTGAAGCAATTCTACAAGTCCAAGAAGGGTTGAAAAAGGGGCTTCCACGCATGCCTTTGTTAAGGAATTATTTATTTTAAAATAGAAATAAAACATCGTTGATATAATATTTAAGGAAGAAGCAACTTTAAAGGTCGTTTCAGATTAAAATTTGTCGCTAACTTTGCCAGCAAAGCGCAAAAATTAGACGTTATGTCCGTAACCGGAACAACCCAGATTTATATGTAGCCGTCCGACCAACCATTTTTGAGCTATAGAGCAATGAAATATTAATGTTCCAAAAAAAAAAAACGAAAAAACGAATTGAAACCGGAAAAAAATGTTCCGTGTTATTTATATGGAAAATCGCCAATAAATGAAACATCCTAACATACATACATATATACATAACTATTTGATTTGAAGTTATAGAGTAGATTGTCACTTAAAAAGACTAGAAGGCGTCACAGCAACCATATAGACCAGTGATTCCCAAAGTGGTCCAGGTGGACCCCAGGGGTCCACGGAAGACTCGACGGGGGTCCACGGTGACGTGAAAAAAATATGGGGGTCCATGAGTTGTAAATGGGGGTCCACGAAGATTTATCTGGTTGCGATGTAAAGAACCAAAATGGTTGCCTGATAGCCTCTTTATTTAACTTTAATTTTTTTGAGTGGTGTATAGTGCTGTTGACGCACTGCTGCACTTACCGTCACTTTGTGTTTTCATACGTGGGGAAGCCTTAAAGGCCACATGCAGACTAAAAAGAACCGANAATTTGAGGCAATTGTATCAGTTCTTTGTTTTGTAATGTAAAAGGATCCATTTAACCGGTTCCAATGATACGCAGAAAGGAACAGCCTAGAACACGAAATGTTAAATGTAAACAGGCCGAAATTCTACGAGAATTACATACATATGTATATATTAGCACCTACAAAGATATATCAAATGAATCATCTAATTAAGCGCTATACCTTAACATTTTTTTATGTCAATACCCCTGAAGATAAGCTGGGTAAGTCGTATTAAGTGAAGCAATTCTACAAGTCCAAGAAGGGTTGAAAAAGGGGCTTCCACGCATGCCTTTGTTAAGGAATTATTTATTTTAAAATAGAAATAAAACATCGTTGATATAATATTTAAGGAAGAAGCAACTTTAAAGGTCGTTTCAGATTAAAATTTGTCGCTAACTTTGCCAGCAAAGCGCAAAAATTAGACGTTATGTCCGTAACCGGAACAACCCAGATTTATATGTAGCCGTCCGACCAACCATTTTTGAGCTATAGAGCAATGAAATATTAATGTTCCAAAAAAAAAACGAAAAAACGAATTGAAACCGGAAAAAAATGTTCCGTGTTATTTATATGGAAAATCGCCAATAAATGAAACATCCTAACATACATACATATATACATAACTATTTGATTTGAAGTTATAGAGTAGATTGTCACTTAAAAAGACTAGAAGGCGTCACAGCAACCATATAGACCAGTGATTCCCAAAGTGGTCCAGGTGGACCCCAGGGGTCCACGGAAGACTCGACGGGGGTCCACGGTGACGTGAAAAAAATATGGGGGTCCATGAGTTGTAAATGGGGGTCCACGAAGATTTATCTGGTTGCGATGTAAAGAACCAAAATGGTTGCCTGATAGCCTCTTTATTTAACTTTAATTTTTTTGAGTGGTGTATAGTGCTGTTGACGCACTGCTGCACTTACCGTCACTTTGTGTTTTCATACGTGGGGAAGCCTTAAAGGCCACATGCAGACTAAAAAGAACCGAATGCTGGTATGACAATGAGTGAGGCGCGGCGAAAATTTCTGGCGGCAGAGATTTAAGCTCTTGTGTCTTTTCAATGCCTGTAACATTGTACGCCACCATTACATTTGTAGAAGAGATTCTATAATGTTGAGTTCCCTGAGACTGAATGCTGGTTTGATTCCATCACTGAGACCGGACTCACACATTGTCGAATCTTCGCTGATGGCTCCAAAACTGACTCTGGGTCATGATCTGGGGTCTTTTTCGAGGTGAATGGAGATAAGCTTCACTCTTCTGTAGGGGAATATCTTCGGTCTTCCAGGCTGAGGTAATTGCAATACTCAAAGCCATGGACTACGTGGTGGAACATATATGGAGGGGAAGGAGTTTACGTGACTGCAGTGATAACCAAGTTGCACCTAATTGACCAGCCCTCTATTTAAATACTTCCAAAAAAATAGTTCGGCAATGCAAGTCTTGACTAAAATATGATGGTGAACATAACGAGGTTGTTTTACTCTGGGTGCCTGGTCACTCTGGAGTACCTGGTTATGAGACATCTGATCATTTGGCCAGAGTTGGCTCAGACCAGGCATTCCTCGGCCCGCAACCAGTTTTAGCACTCCCACTTTCGGCAATCGAAGCCACCATCAAAAACTGGGTGCAGGTGGGCAAAACTCATGTTGCCTTCAATCTCACAAGGTCTATCTAATTTTTTGCTCTCACTGAGCAGACGACACTGCAGGCAACTTGCTGGACTGCTGACTGGTCACTTCACATGGCACAAACACCTGACTGTGATAGGCGTAAATGACAAGTCCATTTACCCATATTGCTTTGAAGAAGATGACATGGTGGAACACTTTTTGTGCTTCTTGCTTGCTTGGTTATTTGTGATCGATTTTTTTAAACTCGTTCTTTTCTCTATTGTCAGTTTCTGAATTAAAAGTTTGGCGTAAAAAGCTTAGCCGTTTTGATGTTTTAAGTTTTGTGTTTTAAAAATGTGATAAATATTTTTCGCCTCACTTTAAAACTCGGAGCGATAAAAATAAAATTGATGCCATTAACACAAATAAACTATTTTACATATACTCCACGTGCAAAGTCATGAGTGAGCCGAACATTTGATGAGTTTATGGTGAAGATAATGTAAATAACGCTAGCGCTCGCACTGCTCTTAAAAAATATAACTCTTCCGAGCGAGAGAGTATTTTGATGTATTTACGAGCTCTATTTTTTAAAACCTGCAAGTGTGTAATCACATTATTTTTATAAACAGAACACAAGAAAATATTTTATTTTTATTTTGGCCACTCTAAGTTTAGTTTTTGAATTCACCCGCGATGAAAATTTACATTGTTAGATCTAATTTTCACATTTAATTTTTTTACGAGCTTTGGGAAACCACTAAATTTTTGAAAGGGGTCTACGAGAAAAAAAAGTTTGGGAACCTCTGATCTAGACCATACTTAGACGACATAAAATTGCCACAATTTCAAAAGTGGGAAACACAAAGTGTTTAGACACCTTGTTATCTTGTTTTGTATACTTATGTACATACAGATGCAGCGATAAAGTTATGATATTTTTTTACATGTTTTCTTGCTGCCGACCTGTTAACTTGAATCAATTCTATGATAAAAAGTACAACATGAATTTTTGTTCAATTTATAGTTGGTTGCCATTAAGTGTAAACATTTCAATCAATGCTCTAGTGATTCGATCCCTTGTATAGCCCTTCGAGAGTACTTCTGCCGTGAAAACGCTTCTAAAAAAACTATTCTGCCGTTCGAAGTCAGCTTAAAAATGTGGGTTTGTGTGACGAATTCGACAAAACACTTAGCAAAAATGTGATTTCTAAACAGTCTAAATATCATTGATTTGCAGTTTGGTAAACTCCGAATTGATATTAGACCCATGGTTTCTTTGCCAAATTTGCTTAGAATTACACGTAAAATCCTTCTGTGANGCCCTTCGAGAGTACTTCTGCCGTGAAAACGCTTCTAAAAAAACTATTCTGCCGTTCGAAGTCAGCTTAAAAATGTGGGTTTGTGTGACGAATTCGACAAAACACTTAGCAAAAATGTGATTTCTAAACAGTCTAAATATCATTGATTTACTTTAATTTGCAGTTTGGTAAACTCCGAATTGATATTAGACCCATGGTTTCTTTGCCAAATTTGCTTAGAATTACACGTAAAATCCTTCTGTGCTATACGCGCGTAGTCGGAAAAAATCTGCCAAACAAATTGACCCGCCCTAATATACATGCTAAAAATACATAATACTAACTCAAAGAACTCATCTCGCTGACCTCGCCGTTTTATACTTGTCTTTAGTGCATTTGCATATGAGTTTGTATATACCCCAGTAGATAATTTCAGGAGTTAAAAGCCCTCCGAAAGGCGAAGAGGCCTTCCACTCTACTTTCCTTTCTCCTTTCTTTTTTGTATGGAGTGGCACAAATTGAAGGGCTTCCTCTTCCGCTACCCATAGAAGGCCTTCCAGAAGGGCTAATATAGGACGTACTTCAGAAGGCCTTTTGGAGGAGTTCTTTAAAGTTGCTTCTTTAATTTATACCAAGTAATTTTTAGCAAAAAAAAAATCCGACTTAAAAAAAAAAATATATATATCTATATATTTCATGATCCAATGATCGGATCTAAACCAAATTAGTATGGGACCACCTCTGAGACACTACCTTTCCGTTGCAAAAATTATTGAAATCGGTTGACGTGGTGCAAAGTTATGCGGTAACATACATAAAAAAAAAAAATATATATATATTCCGACGAACTGATAACCTCCTCCTTTTTTGGAAGTCGGTTAAAAATCATACATCTTTGATGTATTTGCTTAAATATGTATTATTGTAACTTAGCATTTTTATTGGAATTCATTTGTAATGTTAAATAATAAAAATGTATGCATTCGCGTAAATTGTAAATGGATAAGCCCTTCTAGAAGGCATGCGAGGAAGTACTTTTTCAGCCCTTCTTGGGTAGGCCTCTTAGGATGGCTTCACTTAAGAAGGCCTACCTAAATTATCTTCTGGGACATATTTATGTCCCTGGACATACAAAATGATTGTCATTACACGCTTTATTCATTCATTCTAATCATTTTGTAATAACTTGACGAAAAAGTGAATTCTAATCATTCTCTGTGAGCTCCTCAAAGCAGGTCCCTTTACAAATCAATTTAAATTTTTAAATTATAAAAAAAAAACATGAATATGGATGCACACATATTTGAAATAGATACAAACACGTATATTTCTTTCTCAGATTGCTATTTAGCATTTACGTCAACCTGCGCCCAAACTCGACTGCTAAACCAATGAAGAAACAAGTTTTAAAGGTCGCCCAGCACCTACTTAGCCTGAATCTAGCATTTAATAATAAAAAAAGTAAAAGATTATATTAATTTTTACAAAAATTTAAAAGATACTAATATTTATACTTTTTTTTTGATATGACGACACACTATCGTACATACATATGTACATACGCTTTGCACCTACATATATATCGCCCGCTTAGTAATATAGAGAAGTAACTCAATATTATAAATTTTCGAGATTTCATCTTCCAATTAAAAATCTTGATAAGGAGAATACATACATATGTATGTATATATGTACAGTCTAAGAGATAACTAAATTTCCCAAAAATGTCGAAGACAGATGGAGAATCTGTCTTTTGGTATACCAACTATATGAATTGATCAAACTTGAATTAAGTTTTCCCACAGAATTGAAATTTTTAAATAATTCTTTATATTACTAAACGTGCGATATAAAGTGTTAAATATTAAGAAATATCTTTTAAAAATATTATAAAAACATTGCTCATCCATAACTCATTTTTATCTAACTCATAAATCTTAACACAGCTTTATCTCACTCTGAAATCACTTTATAATAATGCACTTCGTTTATATTAATCATTTCTTTTCTCTTCTCTTCTCGCCTCCCCACCCTCCCCCTCATTTAGGCACCCGTTTGGGTTTCGCTCATCCCAAAGGCATGTACGACGTGGGTTTGCCATCGAAAAAGTCACTATTTCGTTTACAAGCCGAACGCATACAAAAACTTGAAGAATTAGCTTATGCTGCTACAGGACGTCGTGGTGTTATTACATGGTACATCATGACTTCGGAACACACCATTCAACCGACATACGAGTACTTTATGGCCAACAATTATTTTGGTTTGAAGAAGGAGAACATCATACTCTTCGAACAGGGTTCATTGCCATGCTTCGATTATGATGGACGCATTATATTGGACGAAAAGCATCGTGTANTTGGCTCTTGCAATGCTCCTCTGCTAAGGCATTCCGCACATGACGCCCTAAACAGAGTAGTGTAACAGTAACTTGGCCGTTGTTTTTGATACTTAGATCGGTTTGTCTCCTCGTCGTTGTCGTCGTTGGTAATCACCGCTCGGGACTAGTATAATGCAGTGAACTGTCTTACACAACACCCCTCTTCCTTTGGTTTGACCCTATCGTAACCTTTGATGGGCCTACCGCTAATTGAGCATGACGACAACGTTTGAAACGTTCCCATAACAGTCGGGGTTTACGTAACCGGACCGACTAAGGACTGTAACTCCAGCATAAATCCCCGAAAACTTTATCGGGAATTTATCATGCCTATTGCGGTATCGGACGGATCCATCAGCACGGATCTAATCCGATTCGCACTGTCATAGCAAGCGAGTGAGAAGGATTAGATTCATGAGAATGTCATCCCTCGGAAGCAGACCTATTCCGGTTCGACAGATTTATGTACATATATCTGGTTAAGGACAGTCACTCCAGCGTCACTTCAAAAGCTCTGGGGATGTTGTATGCTGTTACAACAACCACTTTTGAAAAATTCTAGGCTGGCTTAAGTAGACAATAGCAGAACAATGAAGCAGTGGATGAAACTAAACTCACGACATTCTGTACAGCTTCGGAGTTCCTACTCGACCCTGACGCACCTAGTACGCATATTGTATTCCGCATGAAAGAAACCACCACTTCACATACGCCTTAAACCAACTAAACAAAAAACCCATTTCCCTAGTGTCCGACCCCGACGAAACAGCAAGTTTCCATCATCTAGCATTAGTTGAGCTTGACGGCGATTGAAAGATTAACTGATCTGATTTTAAAATTAATAAACTAGAAAACTTGGAGAGTGGCATTCAGTTAGAAGTAACCAATCATTTAAGCCAAGAGGTATGAAAAGACCTCTACCACTTTCAAAATTAACGGCTCATATGTATACCTATTTGAGGTATGGTTACCACGGCATGGTTATCAATTTTTATATAAAAGTTGATTTTTTGCTCAAACCAGTATTTTGTTTTAAAACCTTGGAATGGCTACATGTGGCAACACGCTTTCGTATCGAAAACTGCAGTGCTGGATACCCGGTTTTACTAACTAACCGGTTAATTAAAAGCTGTTAGACTGGCAACGCCGTTGCGAATGCCAAAATAAAAAAGTTTAAGAAAAAAAGACGTGCATTTATTTGTGGCTGCGAATTATTTTTTAATTTTCGTGAATTTTATTCAAGTGTTTGAAGATAAAATTAAATTGCAATGGGTGGTGCTAGAGCGCGCGGACGTGGCCGCGGTCGAGGGCGTGGCAGAGGCAAGAAGAAGGAGGTATGCAAATATGATTAAAAATCTTTTGGCATTATCATTTCACACACCTTGTAATTTCAAAGCCACTCGATGGTGTTGGAGGCATTGCAGTTGCCAACATTGTACTCGAGGATACAGAAAGTTCAAATCAGCCACCAGATGTTGGTGAAGATGTAACAATGCTAGATCCGGGTAAGGAAAATGAAGTTGAAACGCAATCTCAGCCCTCCCAAGGCGCAGGTGATGATGTGCCAACTTCTGTAGTAGTAGCGCCGGCGGCAGGACCGCTAACTAATGCAACAACGACAGTTGAAGAGCCAGCACAGCCAACAACTGTTTTACCGCAAACAAGTGAGTGGAAATATTCACACATCTAATTTGTTTAATAATTCTTCTAACCATTTCTAGTTGACATGGAAGCCGATATCTCACAACTAGAAGCGCCTACATTCACAACCATATCACGCGGTCCACCTGAGCCCATGTTACGCCTCAAATGGGACCACAAAGTAAATTTGATTGGCGAAAAAGTACTGAATCCCATGATACATTGCTGTGATCAATGTGACAAACCTATTTTATTGTATGGTCGCATGATACCATGCAAACATGTATTTTGCTTGAAATGTGCACGCTCGGAACCCATTAAAACTTGTCCGCGTTGCAGTGATAAAGTGTTAAGGGTAGAGCAATCTGGTTTGGGCACAGTTTTCATGTGCACGCATGGCGGTAGCCGTTATGGCAATACCGGTTGCCGGCGTACATATTTATCGCAACGCGATCTGCAAGCGCACATTAATCATAGACATATTACGCAGCCACCGGTGTTGTCACAACAACCACCAATATCTGCTAGTGCTTTAAGTGGAGGAGGAGGCGGCAGCGGCGGAAATGAACTGAAGTCGTCTGATGTAAATATGGAAGCTGTATTCAAGAGTGTCAGCGGCAATGTACAACGAAAAGTGAGCACTGTTAACGTACTACCTTTTCAGTATTACCTTAATTAAAAAATTTATCACACATATATTTTTCACACGTAAGCTTTCGGAGTCGTCCACCACTGCAACAACCATACAAGCGCCTTCTGCTTTATTAACACAACGACGTGCCACAACCATTGGCAATATACCACCACCAGGCTCTGTCAGCTCAACATCCACGCAAGGTTCAACTCATTCGTCGCATTCCTCTTTGACACAGGCCAATATTGCACGTATTAATACGGCTAACGAACAAAATTGTCATCAAGGCAAAGTAGCGTTACATCAAACGCTTAAGAAAACGCCTATAACACAGTCGCACCATCAACCACCCGAAAGTGTGGCTGATGCGTCTTACTATAGCAGTGTACTAAATTCATTCGGCAGCAGCGATGTGATGGAGCAAAGTGGGGGTGGTAGTGGCAATATTGCATCAACATCACAAACAACAACGCAAAATCCATGGCAGGCGAATCAGTACTATCGATAAATGTGGAATTAAAAATGCGACTAGGATTTATTTTAATTCTTGTATGGAGCAGCAGCTGGCGGTGGTACATGGAGTAGTTTGTAACGTAAGAATTATAAATTGCAATTTTAGTGCCGTTTTCTCAAGTAGAAGTTAGAATTTTTCTGCCCTGCATTCACATTTTTTGAGAGCAAAACTTGTGTTTAAAGGTCAAATCAATTATAAAACGTACTTGAGAAAACGCCCCTTAGTATAGTAAACACTTTTTGGTATTTATAAACATAGCTATCTGAAAAATAGTAAAAAAAAAAACATGAAATACAGCAAGCACTTCACTACCTACGTCTCACCTCACTAATCGCGTATTTTGTATTAAGCGACTTAAAATAAATAAAAAAAATTTGAAGTAAAACATGCTTCAAAGACTCAATAAATTTCAGTAATAACTTTTAAGTGTCCGTTAATAGAACTTTAGATTTTTTTTCAATTTTTAATAATGCACCGGTTGTCTCCTGAAACTATGTACTCGTATGTATATACAATACAATTAAAATTGGAATATATACTTATTAAAATATGTCTTATTGTGTGCTCATCGGAAATGCGTTGTATGGAAGCAGGTGTGTGGAAAATGTCCTCATGTTTGTCAATTTTTATTTTTACAATTCATCAACTTGAAATACATAGTGCATAATTATCGTTTATGAGAAATATTCTAACAGGTAACACTTTGCAAATGTACATTTGCAATAAAAATATCCTAATCAATATCTAAAAAATGGCGTTCTCCATTTTTGGATGTCTCCTTTAGCTTCCGAGATATTGAGTAAAAATTGCCGTTAATTTAGTAGAGATTTTGATCACATTTTGTACGCTCATATTCTTACGACAGTCGGGTCTACGTAACCGGAACGACCCAGATTTATATCTGGCCAAGGACTGTCACTCCAGCAACACTCCCCAAATAGTCTTTGGGGAATTTGTATGCTGCTACAACAACAACACCATCACATTTTGTCGTATTTCAGAGAGATTTACAGAGTGGCGGCCAAATTGTGGATAAATGACGCTTACGAAAGAAAATCCTCCATAAACTCAAAACTAATTAACAATAAACATTAAAAATTAAAAAAATTTAAGAATTTTGTGAACTAGTAACATTTTCAGAGAATTTGGAGTAAATCTATCTTCGCGTTTTTGCGAAATTGCATTCCAAACTTCAAACGCGATTTCCCACAACCTGCTGAAATTAACATACGACAATCTTTTACCCAGGCGACGATAATATGTAGTTGGTTTCTTTATAGGTCGCTGAAATTTTCTTGCGCGTTTCCTAGGGTAATTTTGATTTTAGCACACAAACAAAGAATATAATAGAAAGGAAAACACCGTACAAATACCGTCAAATTTACTTTAAAGATGCATTAAAAAAAGAACTATTTGAAATAAAGAGCATCAAGCGTGTGACCTTACATTCTACAAACCATGTTTTCAGAGTATTCTGAATAGTAGAAAAATCATAAAGAATTCGTAAAGATCTCTTCCGATTTTTTGCCGAATTTTCTAAAATGAAACTAACTGTGCACACCTCGACTCTTTTACGAAATTTCGGAGGCAAATCGGTAAAATAATGGAAATAATGCTGCGATGTGAAGAATTTGTTTTTCAGAATTATCTTTAAAAAATTGTACAGAAATTATGGATAGAAGTTATGGATTTTCGTTTTGTTTTACAAAAGTTCTGCTTCATTCAAAATTAAAAAAAAAATATATATATATATTACACATCACGGATAATCCCTTTTATACCATTAAAGTTCTTACAAAATCGAAAAGGCAACCTAAACTAACTTTTAAACGCATAATTAGAAATTCGCTTTTCGTCTCCAAATGTAGAACCGACCATTTCTTAACATCATCCACATTTACCAACTTTATGAATGTACCTACGCATCTTAAGTGTGCATTCAATTTGTGGTGCGTCTTTTCCATATACACATTTATGTAAATATATATTTATCCGTGTTAAATAAAAATACCAAATTACGTTGTAATGCCTATCCGTTTACACACCTACTGTTGCGATTCGCCACTCAAATCGATTAGCGCATCATTAAATGCTGTTGGTACGCCGGTACTTGTACCACTTCTAGGTGGTGGTGCTGGCATGGGTATCGCTATCGTACTCATTGTACTAATCATACGTGGCTCAGCACGCGCTGTGGTTATAGGTGCCGACATATTAGCACCAACATGCTGAGATTGTCTCAGAAACGTTGGATTCATTAGTGCTTCTGGACTGACATGCTCTTGTGTGTGTCCATGCCCATGGGGATGACTGTGCTCATGACCGTGGTGATGTTGATTGTGGTGATGCTGGTGTTTATGATGTTGATGCTGATGATGANTGCTCATGACCGTGGTGATGTTGATTGTGGTGATGCTGGTGTTTATGATGATGATGTTGATGTTGATGCTGATGATGACCTGCCATTGGCGCTCCACCGCTGTTAACGGTAGGAAACGATTTAGGCAATTGATTGTGACGCGCATTATCCGTGGACTTTAATCGCTCACTTAATGCCTTTAAAGCAATTTGCCTACAGAAAAATTTGTTTGCTTGTTTAATTATTTGGAAAAATAGTCCCATCGCATACCTGCGTCGTTCGATGTCATGTGCATCGGCACCCGGAATTTGTATAGACACTGAAGACAAACTACCGCTTAGAGATGCTAAACGCGGCGGCGCTGGTGTCTTGACCACACCCAATGCCAAACAGCATTTATAGATGGGATTTACCAAAATACTTATCACTGGTTGCATCACATTTGGAAAGAAGCTGGCAAATGTAAAGCTTTCGGAACTATCGCCACGCCCGTTTGGATGCCATTGATAGAACCGCAAGTAGATCCAGGCAACAATGAGCCCCGAACCAAACATTGCCGGATAGGTGCCATCCAATAGGTGTATAGCCCACGTAATAATTGACATCACAAACACAGTCAAGGGCACGTTTCTACAAAAAAAAAAAAAGTTTGATAATAGTTCGATACGCAGGCAAAACTACTTTTTAAACGCTCACCTATTAGTTAATTTTCCCCAGCGCGTTTTGAAAATTAAATGATCAGGCATTATTTGTCGCACTGCCACGCATATTCCTGCTACATAGCCTGCCAATCCATGGATGTGCACGTCAAAGAGTATACTTGGATTATCGGTTACAACAAAATAAAATAAATAGTATATTGTGGTTAATATGCAAACGCCGAAATTGGTCAAGGCAAAAAATTTGAACATTTCCATCTGTCCCCATAGTGGCTCCAGCATCTTGCCACATAGTCCTACAGTGATGACATCGACCAGCACTTCCCACCAATGTAGCTCAATGAAGCAAAATGTAAACGCCGTCCATATCCAGAACTCGGCATTAGGAAGTATCTTGCCAGGAGTCACACTCAAAATCCGCACAGCAGTTTCCGAGTACGATAGCAGGTATCCAAAGCCAGTGACAACACAGATAAGCGTAATAACAGGCGACGTATTGTGTAGCAACGCTGAAAATTGCTGTTTTAGGTATTGTATATTGCGGTGATACGCCGACATGTTTGTTTACGGTCCAATACCACTTTTATGCTTCCAAATTAAACTTTTTCAACACATTGAATTGGAATTTGTAACGAAATTGTTGCTCCCCAAAATAAAGCTGAAATTAGTCGAGAACGCAGAACGTATACTTAAACGCAGTCTGTATACGCAGAATTTTGTCGATTACTGGAGCCCTCAGTGTTGCTTACTACAATGTTGCCACTCATCAATGCCTTTTCATAAACTTACCCTTTCAACTACAATTTTTCGTGCTATAATAGATTTTAGCTAAATATAAACTACTTAGTTTTCAGCAAAAACCTTATTCAATAGTAAATTTCAAATATTTTAAACATATTTTGAGTAGGAACTTANGACACGGAAAAATCTAAATTCCGCAGATTTCTACGCTACGGGCTACAACTACAGAAAAATTCTGCGGTGCTGAGTTTTCATTTACATGGCGCTTTGGAAAGACAGATCGTGTCAGCTGACTCGGGTTTACGTACCGGTAGGTTTACGTTCTTGACTAATTTCAGCTTAAGAATTGTATGTGATTCTTCAACAAAAGCAAATGCAAAATAGCCAAAGGGTTGCCAGATTCGTAATTCTAGTAACGATAAGAAATTTTTACTGTGCAGTTTATGAGTACTCGGTTCGAACTTTACTAATGCTAATACAAACAAGTAAGAAAGTCTAAGTTCGGGCGGAGTCGAACATTAAATACCCGGCGCAAGTATTAAATATATATTTTTTTCACCTTTCCGAAACCTACCGCTAGATGGTAAGCCGGGGTGTATCAATTCTGAGTAAATTAGTGTCCTTAAATTTCGAAATATTGCAGTTTCAAGCATTTCTGAAATTTACCGTTATATGAAAAGCGGCCGTAATTTTAGTCCGATTTCAATAATTTTCAACGTTTTTATTTTATGTGGCAAGCGCAATAAAAATACCGAGGTTGGTACAAATTGGTAGCACGGTTACCGATATAC